AGGCTCTTCTTTGAATGCCCCTGCATTATAGACACCTCAGGGATGTCCCTTGTGAGTCTGGTGAGAGAGCAGGAGGGAGAGGCAAAGCCAGTGCCAGTGGTGGTCAGGGGAGCAGCTCAAGTCTGTGGCCAGAAGGGGACAGACATGGCACTGGGTCTGGTAAGGAGAGACTTTGAACAAGTGCCTCACTGCTCTCTGAAGCTGAAATGTGTTTGAGAGAGGAACTTTCCCAGAGGAAATGTTAGTTCTGGGTCTGGAATTACTCATTCTTTGTTATTCCTGGAAAGGTGCAACGTTTCAGAGATCTTCTAAATATCAACAGTGATGAGATGATGATGCAAACTGCATCAGGAGAGGCTATTACAAGCCTGGGGAGGACACATGACCCTTGCTTTTGATTTCAGTTTAGCAGTTCTGCATGTTTTGGGTTTGTCTTCCAAGATCAGTGTTCCCTTCTGTCCCTGTGAGTGAGCTGTGGCTGCCAGCGGGCTGAAAACTGGGAGCAGAGATGAAAATAATTATGGGCAGGGATGGAAATGAAAGTGTTTCCAGGTGGCTTCCTGCCTTTTACATGGCTCCGTCCTGCTTACAAGAGCAGGGGGATAAGAGAACTCTTAGCTGGTCCCTTGCTGTGAGTAAAGTACATCCTTGCCTGCAGGGAGAGAGCTGGAGATATAAATCCGTGCTTCAGAAAGGTGCGTTACACAAGAGAACTGCCTTCTTACTGTGTTTGGGGGTTTGAGTTTATCAGTGGTCAGAGTGGCTTGGAAATTAAATTCTTGTTGTTCACAAATAAAATGTGTTAGCAGCAAGAGAGGAAATTGAAGAAAGTGGAAATAGCTGGATTAGACCAGCAAAGGGTCCACCTTTCTGCATGCTGTGATCAATACCACTGGCTCAAAGGAAAATGCAGCGAAGCTCTCTGGTGTTAGTACTATCTGCTCCAGAAGTCAAGCTCACACCTGCTTACACTTGTGATGAGCTTGTAATTCTTATTTCCTAGGATGAGGAGACACCAAAACCATGCCAGTGGCAGGACTGCCCCAGCACTGGTGTTCCCCATATCTGCAGGTGGACCCAGCTGGGACCCCTCATTCCTCACCATAGTATGCAAACCCTGAGTGCTCTCTGGTGGCCAGGAAAACTGAGCCATTTTCTGTCATCCAGCCACTTACAAAACACAGCAGGTTGCCAAGTGTCTGACAAAGAAGCTGCAAAATTACAGCAACCCACTACTTACTGCTCGTTAGCACTTCTTAGCTCTGTAAGTGCTTTAGATTGGGCTTCATTTATGTATTTTCGTGAGTACTTCGGTTTTTCTTGGCACTGCTGGACCAGGGTCACACAAAACTGACTGGAAATCCCTGTTTCCCTTTCCCTGGTTCAATTTGCCTCCCCTTTTTTAACAAGATGCAGGCAGAGGTAACCTGAAGGACAGTACATGCTGTCAGCGCTTGTAAAAATAGTTAAGGTGTGTGAATGGGATGGAGCTGCTCTGTTTTCTGCAGCAACAGCCCAAAGGTGTTCAGAAGCTCTGGTTGCTGCAGTTGGCAGTGGGGGCTGCTGATCCCCTCCAGGAGACTGCATTGGCTGTACTACCTGGACTGCCACAGCCATCAGCTTGTATGTAATAGTGCATACAGACCCTGGAAATCAGGAGCTGGTATAGAAGGCATTATGCTGAGACACAGAATATACCCAGACACAGCCTCAATACAGTATATAAACATATATGCTGCATTGTACATGTCCATCCCAACTAGGGAATATGTATTCTTTTTGCACGAAAGTGCTAGCAATGAGCAAATACAGCTGAATATGGTAAAAGCTTTATAGGGAGAGTGAAGGTTACTTGTGGCAGGGGAAGGAACCCAGTCATATTCAGGCTGTTTGACTTAGAGAACCTGCTCTGATAATTCTGGTCGGAATTGTTTTTCACTCTAAGACACGTCTCAGCTGTCACACTGAAGTCAGGTTGGCTGGGAGCCTGGACTCATCTTGGACTGTGTGAGAGTCCTTTTTTGTCTCTAAGTATACTCCTTTTTCCTCAGCTCTTCATTTTTCCAATAGAGTTCTGGCACGGGCAGTCTTATCTGTCTGTTATGTCTCTCTCTGACCTATTTCATTGGCTAAAACTCCCCCTGCCTTCCCTTAGATGAGCTCAGACAGGTCTGGGTGATGGCTAACAACAACCTCAAAGACAGGGAAATGACAACTGGGTTTTGTTTTGCTTCAGTTGCTGATGAATCTGCTCCAGAGCATCCCTGATACAACCTCCTGAGCTCTAAAGCAACTTGGGGGCCTTCCCCACATGCTTCCCCATACAGATGGCTGTCCTGAGGTCTGGGGTGGGACACCCAGGCTCTCTGAAGGGGTGGAAGCAGCCACCCAGCGCGGGGGAGTGAGCTGTGCTGTGCAGCCAGCTTGTACCTTCAGCTGTTTTGTCTTAAAATACCCACTGGTGTCATTTTTTACATCCTACAGTCTTTATCCCAAGCTGTGTATCTCACCCTTAAATGGAGCTGTATTTTTAATTGCTGGCAGAGTATTATTATTAGACTCGAGCCTGCTGCTAATGTGCTGTGTGGCTCTGCAGAGAGCTCGATGAACCAACCTCATGTTGCAGGCAGGCAGGGATGAATCCTCCTGCTTGTCTGCAGCCAATACACGTCCTAAAATGTGTCCTCTCCCAATCAGGCTTATTGTCAAGACCCTCACTTGAGGGAAAAGCCCACTTGAAAGCTGTTCTCCAGCCCCATTATCCTGCTAAAAGGTGACGGAACGCTGTGATGTGGGTGGCAGTGGGGCAGCACTGGTTGCTTGCTGCCCATACAGTGAAATGTCAGCCTTGTGATGGGGAAAATCTGACCACTTCCTACACAACTGGGTGCCAGTGGTAGTCCATCTCAGGGGACCATGGCACACGTGCAGAGAGAAGACTTGTCTCCTAGCCATGGAGTAGCAAAGAGGCTTTCAGAAATGAGTGTGGGTTCATAAGCCCACTGAAATGGAGACGTTTAATTCAAGTCACAAGTGTGCTAACCGTGGGGAAGCAACAGAGTAAAGGACCCTATGGGGAGGCAAGGAAGAAAGGTGTGAGAAGCCATCACCCTGCAGCACGGTGCTTTCTAGGGACACAGGGGGCTGGAACAACAGTGCAAAAGCCACAGCAACAGAACAGTGTGTAGCATGGCTGGGCTGGGACCCTGGCAGGTTACTGGCTTCCCTGTGGGATGATTGTGTTGGCCATTTGGAAAATGTTCCAGACTGGGCATTACCTGGTGTTTAAATAGATACACTTTTCAAAACAGAAACTTTTGCTCATTTTAACACATAGCAGCGTGTCCATTACAGTAGGAAGTAAGCTGCTGGACCAGAGCAGTAGTGGGGCTGTAACAAAATGAAGGACAATTAATTAATTGATTAAAGCAACTGACCAGACTATGAAAGCACAATCAGCACATGAGCCTGCTGAAATTCTGTATCTGAGAGGAAAAGAAAATACTTTCTGATTCTTAGCAAATGACTTCACTTTGTAACTCATTAGTAACTCAAATGAAGTGTTAAAGTAAATCTCAAGGAAGTGAGTCAGAATTGGAGGACAAGGGGAGCCTTCAGCTGGCTGTATTGCAGCAGTGTTGGAGGAGAGTCAACATTTTGCCCTGTTCTACTGCTTCACACTTGCTTCCTTTCACCCTAAGCTCTTCAATGCATTGGTCCCTCTGCTTCCTTGGCTCCATTACCTGCAGGGAAGGGAATCCCATCCTTGTAGAATGGGGTCTGCAATATCTGCAGGGAAGCAAGCTCCCTGCTGCATGAGGGTGCAGTGTGCCTCTCCTATGCAGCACTCACGCAAGAAACAAAGTCAGCCTTGCATGGTGCGTTTGGGATACAGTTTGATTTGTTTTCTTACCCTTGTTTAAGTTCTTCTGGCAAGCATGAGCCAAGGGTTTATCTGTGTTTTGCTGGAAGAGGCACTACTGCCAGAATCTTTTCAAGAATGGGCTTTTTTTGCTGTTTACTGAGGCTGCAGTTATAAATGTCATGGGGGGAGACTGCAGCCCTTCTCTGCTGCGCTGAATCATGGTGCCAACACTTCTACTGCAGAGCCCAAACTGAGCATGTGGTGTCTCGGCTCAATCTGATTTTCCCTATGTTCTTTTGCAGATCACACAAGTGAATTAATTCCCCCTACTCCTGTTTCCCTCACACCAAATGGGTCCTAGAAATCTTCCACTGATAAAGCATTGCAGCAATTTCCACATTTCCAAGATTACACTGATACAGAACATTCCTGGAAACAACTTTGTTTTCTAACACTATAAATGGGGGGGGAGGCAGAGCCCTGGGTACTATTCTCCCTAGACCAGGGTTAGATTCTTGCCCTTTTCACAATCCCATGGGATTGACTATTAAGTACAGAGACTGATACAGAACTTTGCAGGATGCAAAGAGGATTTTTTCTGTGTCTTTTCCAACTGCCCTTAAACTCAGGAGCTGCAGTTCCTACTTTTATTAATAAACCTCATTTAAAGCAAGTGCCCATTTGAAAAGAATTCTGCCTGGTTACATGTACATAAAGCTTTTCATTTTAGCAGAGAAGAATTTGGGTTTGAAGTAGCAAAGTGTGAGTGACCTGAAAGCCTTGATTGGGAATGTAAGAAAGAGTAAATTACCTTGGAATTGAAAATGCCATTGCTACATAGCAGGATAAGAAACCTTGTGACATTGGCAGTGTGCTGAGATTAGAATATATCTAACTACATAGCAAGAAAAGCAATCTCCTCTTTGCCACGAGAAGAAATGGGAATTGTTGTGGGTATTATTATTTCTCCTTCTCTGCCTTAAAAATTAATTGAAGTGATGGAACATAACACTGTGATAAGAGAATTAATTACACACCTCTAAATGCTCCTGTCTAACTGTGTCGCTGTGCTGCTAATTTCTCAGCCTCTCAACATTGCCTACAGTCACATCTACAGCTCCTACCGCAACTTCGTGGGGCCACCTCATTTCAAGACCATCTGCAGGCTTCTTGGCTATCAAGGCATTGCTGTGGTCATGGAAGAGCTGTTGAAGATTGTCAAGAGCCTGGTAATTATGAATCTAATCCTGGCAATGGAGAAACCTCGATGTCTTGAGAGGCATAGGTTGGATGGCCAGCCTGGACTTTGGGTTCAGGGTGTTCACATCTGGGCATCTTCATATCCCTTGATTCATGCTGAAACACTTGTATTAATGGTTGATTTTCACTGTTGCTGAGGAATCCCACTGTTTGCTGTGGGATGATGGAGTGTTTCCATCATCTTGAAGTGTTAACTGTGATCAGCCACCTACCTCTGGGGGTGGTGGAGTTGGCATGCAGCTTTGCTAAAAGCCATTGGGAAGTGATCGGGTGGGACAAGGCACTCGCTGTCCCTCAGCACTGCCTATGCTGCAGTCTGGGACACCTTCAAGACATGTGCTCATGCTCAGTGATAGCACAAGAGCACTCTGTCTCACTGCCTTGTGATAGCCTGGAGAGCTGCTGGAAGGCAGAGAGCAGGCAGCAAAACTGATGAAACCAACTTTTTCAATCATTATAAGAAATTTCCTGCTATAGGTGAGTCCTTATTCAAGTCATACTGTCCATTTCTATCAAGTATTCTGAAGCCAGCCTGCCAATAGCCCTGTCTGCTTTCTAGTTCTTTTTCAGAAGAGAAATGTGATGTCCCCAGGGAAATGATCCCATATACTCCCTAAGGGCACTAACAATATCAAGCATTAAGAAAGGAGGAGGGAGTGTGCAAAAACATATAGTTTTTCATGTCATGCTTTTCAGCTACGACCCTTGCTTTACTGGAAAGACAATTTTCATTCATTATAAATATCTAAATTCTGGTTTGATTGCAATGACGGCTTTTTGAACTTGTCTAACAAAGCAGTGTAAAACTGAAAACCTCAAGTGCATATCCAGTTTCCCTGCTGTTAAAGGATCATAGTTACTGAAGATGTAATTTGTGTCACTTGGTTGAAAATGCTGTAGCTTGTGTGCGAGATCAGACAGCATTCAGCACAAAGACAAAGATTTCATGTTTGGCTAAATAGTGTTTAGTGCATAATCCTGCATAATGTATCTACAGGATGCAGGTATATCACTGCAAATGACAGCAGGCACTTTTAACTAAGAAATATTCTTTGCTCTTTTCCATATTAGTTCAAAACATCAGATCTACAGAAACTTGTTCTACATGCTTGTAAATTCTTGTTTAAATTCCAAGTATTTGGTGATCATTCCTCAGATGGAAGGAGCATTTCCTGTGTTGGGGAATGACTCCTATAGCACCTCTGGTGAAATGCTTTTTGGGTTAGGAGCACAAGTCCAGCTGGATCCGAGACTGAGCCTTGTTTGGATTTCAGCTGCAAACAATGCAAACACAGCAGGCTGTATTTTGAAGTCGAAAGTCTGTGCAGCTGTGATTGATTATTTGGGAGGAAGCTGTAAAAGCACTCTAATTCCATACACTCAGTCTGAATTTTATATTTGAGTGAAATCCAAAATAAGCAAGTTCTTGGATTCCAGCTAAAAATTCATCCTGTACTGCCAGATGTGGACCCATCCACAACCAGCCTGTTTCAAAACCAATTCCAGGAGAAGACCATCATTCCAGCTTAACCTCCCTTTGTCTCCGACAGCTACAAGGCACCATCCTGCAGTATGTGAAGACACTGATCGAAGTAATGCCCAAGATATGCCGCTTGCCAAGACATGAATATGGCTCTCCAGGTGGGTGTGCCTGATAGATGCTTGAGCAAGAGCTTGCCCATGTATTGGTACAGCATTGAGTCAGGCACACACTAGTAATTAAACAAGGCTTGGCACCTGACATGCCAGTGCAACACACAGCCAGGCTTGCTGGGACACACTTTCAGCTGCTTTGCTATTGACACTGGAACATGAATAGAAAACTTTTCCAGGAAATCTCCTGTTGGAAATTTCCCTTTGAACACACAGATGGCTGATAAGGGAATGTCTTCTAGTAGATTCTGTTTTATTTTCAGGATTCTGTAAGCTTTTTTTATTGTGGGTTCACTGATATTTTTCAAAAGCTCTACTCAGTTAACACGAAGATTTTTTGCAGTCTGCCATTGAGGTGGAAGGGGAAACTCTGGCTGGTATACATGAGCCAGCACCAGCACATCCATTACAGTCTTGAATCTCTTCTTCTCCTCTGATGAGGAAATCCAAGAAGTTCATATAGATTACTCCCTATTTCCCAAGGGTTACTGAAAGCAGGATGAGACACTGCATCCTAGTTCTCCCCAATACCAATCTCCATCTATCTGTTTAGCAGTTACAGCTTGCAATTTGTGATTAAGAAAATATCAGGCACTGATTGTCATTTTATCCAAGTTATCAAGGGTGATTCTGCTCTCGCTTTTCTGACTGTCCTTCCTTGTCTTTTAAGGAATCCTGGAGTTTTTCCACCATCAGCTGAAGGACATCATTGAGTACGCAGAGCTGAAGACTGATGTGTTCCAGAGCCTCAGAGAAGTGGGCAATGCCATTCTCTTCTGCCTCCTTATCGAGCAGGCTTTGGTAAGGCAACACCCCCCGCACAACAGATCATACTTGAAATTGCCAGCTCAAGACTATGTGTGGAAGTGGGTTTTCCAGCAGAAGAGTTTGGGAAATGTTACTTTCCAGCTTCTCGTGTGCTCGGGGTCTGTCTGGGGCTGGTACTGGGCTCTGTGGGCATGTCCATGGATGGTGTGCATTGGCACTTGGTCGCTGACATCTGGGATTGCTGGATGAGAATCTGAATACTGGAAGATCTAGATTTAATTCTTGGACCCAAAGCTATCCCTTGTTTGTCCTTCTCAGAAATAAAACCAACTGGAGCTTATTTCTAGATTGTAAGCTCTCTGGGGCAGGGATCAATACTTTTTTATATACATATTTGTACAGCGAGAAACAGATTTGAGCCCTTTGCTCTTTTGGGTTGCCAGTGCAATGAAAAAAACCTGATTGATTCTAATGGTGGTAGGGATAAAGTAATCTAACAGGAAGGAAACCTCAGAAGAACTGATGGTAAATTTCCTCCGACTTATCTTTACTGAATACTTAGATGGAACAATGACTTGGTATTGCCCCCATACAACTATTTCTCTCAGCTCATGTGGTCCTCTTTCTGGTATGGGGCAAAGACTATGGCTGCATGCCACGTGTCTTCTTAGCTTCTAGTTTTTCACATGATAAATTCACTTTGTAATGAATTTATCTCATACTTTGGCCTAGAGCCAACTGAGGTGTCTTTTGTAACACGATTTTATATTAAAAATGCATATTTCATCTCATAATGGTTTTGACAGGGGTATATTTTGCAGTTTTCCCAGCAATATTTCAGAAAGACTTCCCCAACATAGGATGAGGTTTCCAAGCCAAGTCAGAAAGTTTTGTTCAGAGCAAAACTAGAAGGAAGTTCAAAGATTCCATGTTTTATCCAACCATAGAGCACAGAGAAAACCAAAAATCTCTTCATATCCTCAGAATGGATGTTTCTGCCCTTGTCTTTGCATTTTAACCCCAGATAGAGAGACTTTTAGTTCCTGATATGCTATATTCAGTGAGCAGTAGTTGTGTAAGATTAACTAGAGAGATGTGTCTCACCTAGCAGCTTGGCTTTATTTTATAGAATGACCAGAGTTGACAGCTATATCCTGGCAGTTTCTGTTCCCTTTGTGGCTTCGTCACTGCTTTCTGCTGTTCTCAGTGTTGGATTTTTATGCTGGATGTACTGCATTTGCCTTTTGCCTCCCATCTTTAAATGGACACTTAAGGGACACGTGGTGTTTTCTTTTAGAAATCCTTCATTTCAATGCAGAAATGTTCCTGCAGCCCCAGGAGCTGTACATCAGCAGTGCACTGGCATTTCAGAATAGCAGAAAATAAAGAAAAGAAGATGGTGAGAATTTGGGGTCCCTTTAGGAAGGTTGCCTATCAAAATCCACATATGCCTGCTTTCCGTGCAAGCCAAAAGGCCTCTCCCTCTCTGATCCCCTATTTTTCCACACAGGAATATGTTCAGAATATAAAGCCATTTGCATGCAGTGGGCACCGGTTCTCACTTGCTTGAAGATGTCAGATGAGTAGAGCCATCACGTTAAAAGATTTTCCCTCTAATGGAGCTCTTATGCAGCAGGAGCAATTGCTTTTACAGTGCAGTTATCTTCATAGCTGTTAGAATGATCTAAGGCTGGTGGTATTTGCTGGCAGAGACTGCTCTAGTGAAGATGTGCGGTCTGCTTTTGTCTACCCCCTTTTTACTGTTCAAATCTGAGGAATGAGGCGTTGCTTGGGATTAAGTTTATAAGCAGAATTCTTAGGTAATGGGCCTTGGCGAGGAGTTATATTTATAACATGACTAATTTTGGGACAGATACCAGGTGACTGCAGGCTGCAAATGGTGAAAATACTCTCTTTATCAGAGAGAAACAGCAGTGAAAGAATGTTCATCTAGGAAGGAATAGTGTTGCGCAAACAAAATAACCAAGGTGACAGGCACACTCCGTTAGCATCAGCATTTCTCTGTCCATGGAGAGACCCTGGTCTGCTCCTGTCCCTCCAGCGCTGTGTCACAAACTGCACTCCCACAAACTTGCTCTCATTCCAGCATCCATGTGCCAGTACAGCCTCCTGCAGCTCCATGCTACACTATCCTCTCCCTCTTGGCTGGAAGGTGGGGAATCCACCCGTGCATCTCAAACAGACCCAGCCGAGTCATTCCATTGGGCCCCCAAATATCTTTTGCTGCACTGTCATGACCTGCTTTCGAGTGTGTCTACATCTCTACAATAAGCACAGAACTGAAAGCATGTCCTAGAACTAGACTTTTATAGGAGCAAACTAATGCCTTGTCCTGACGCAATGCCTCTGTGTTAAACAGCTTTGGTTTCCTTGCTGCTGTTTCCCATTGCAGACTCGTATACAGTGTATTGTCGGCCATCGCTCCTCAGTCTCCACCTGCCTATTTCTAGGTTTCTCCTCCTTGTGCATCTGTGTTTGGGATTATTTTTTCTCAAGTGCATCGGCATGCATTCTCTCAGGTGGCATCTCATGATGTTATTCCTCTCTGGACTTCTGTATTACTCTGTATTAGCCCTGGTAACTACACCACTGGGATCCTGGTCTGATATCCCTGGCTGAGAACAATCTATGAACAACCAAATGATTTCAGACCAACATATTGTTTACCTATTTGCAATAGAGTCATGCACCGGTATATCTTACACGTACACATCCTAAAATAACTAAGCCAAAGGGTATCTTCCACCTGGGCTCTCTATGTAAAAATAAATAGCAGGAAGCTATCAGGGTAAGATGAAGCTGAAACCTCCATGTTCTTTATGCCCTCCTGCAGTGTTAGTAAATGGGGCAGAAAATAAATCTCTGGCCTTGTACAGGCAGGAAGTCGCTTCTTTGAGTTAAAGAAACTTCCTGGCTTAAGTTGAGAGGTATTTCTGTCAGTTTTGGTTCATTTAGGTTCAAACTGTTGGAGTTACTACTGAGTTGGGTTGGATTTGAATAGGTGCTGTAGCAGGAATTGTTGTAGTGTTGCCCAGGCCCCTGAGCCCTACACTCAACCCCTGTAGGTATTTTATAACTTACTTTATCTTTCTTTCTTCCTGCCTCAGTCCCAGGAAGAAGTTTGTGATTTGCTGCATGCTGCTCCCTTCCAAAATATTTTGCCCAGGGTCTACATCAAAGGTAAGAAGCTGAGAGGGAAGCAGTGGACAGACTCAAAGGTCTCTGACCAGAAGCTGTTTCTCTCCCATTTCTGTTGAGGATTAGTTCTGGCCCTGCTTCCCCCTTGAAAGAGATCAGTGCATACAGCCGAAAGTCAGGTGGAAACAAATGCCAAGGGTGCATTTTCTGTAGCCTAGTCACAGGCTGAAACCTTAGTTAGTTTGGGGGTTCCCTTTAAGGTTTTAAAGCTATTTTGCAGCCTCTTTGGAGAATGACAGCATGAAATGTCCATCTCAACAGAAGCGATCAGTAACAGGGCCATGCTTTTGGACATGTTTGATAAAGCTGCTGCTGAGGCTGCACTCGCGCATCCCTCCCTTCTCTGCATCACCGGTCCCCTCATTTGCTGTCGGTTTGGCTCACTGATCCAAAGTCTCGTTGGATGGTTGCTGGGGGGCAGCTCTGAGCAAACTCGGCGGAAATTGCGGGTCTCCACTTCCTCCTCTCATTTCACTGTTTGCTGCTCGCTTGACAGAAGGAGAACGCTTGGAGGTGCGCATGAAGCGTCTCGAAGCCAAGTATGCCCCACTTCACCTGGTTCCCTTAATAGAGAGGCTGGGCACTCCGCAGGTAAGGATTTCATTGAAAGGGATGGCTGTTGAAAACTCATAGCAGTCCCCACACGGCCTGTTTGGCCTTGGGAAAGTGATCCTTTTTTCCTTTTTTTTTTTCCTTCTTTTTTCTTTTTCTTTTTTTCCTTTTTTTCCCCCCCAAAACATCAATTGGACAATAAAATCACAATCCTTGCCCTAGCAGACATTTTGAAGGGAAACTCGTGAGCAGGTCCAGAGATGGTGTGTTGCTGCCTCCAGTTTGGAGGGCTGGTGGGGAGCTTAGGGCAAGCATGCTAAGAAGTCAGCTCTGAATAAGAACAACTCTGAAAAACTCTTCTTCTCCATTTTAAAAATAGAGAATTGCTGGGATGGTTTGAGGGGAAACTCCACGGGGCTGTCCCTAATCAATTGCCATCACTTTGGGATCCCATTTTAGGGCTGCAGTATGATCCATTTTTAAGCTCATCCGTGTCAAGGAATACATCTGAGAATGGTTTCCCTCCTAGCACATGCTTAGAGCTTCAGCACATGCTTAAAATTATGGCTCTGTTTAAGTGTCTTCTTGAGGTGGGTCTCAGCTTGGAAAAGATCTCTTGAGCAGAAATTGAGTATTGTTAAAAATATCTCTATAGATTGATCAATGTAGCAGGCAAAATTTGAGCTCCATGGATATCAATAGCGAAACTTCCACTCCCTACTTCATGGGGTTGATGGGATCAAAATCATTCAAAGTATTAAATGAATCAAACACCCCTTTTCTGTAATGTACTGCCGAGGGAATGGAGCAAACATTCAGGTGTATGAGGTGACAGATCTATGGCAAGCAGAAAGTTGATTTTCTTGTTTTTCTGATGGATCAAGGACCTTTTGAGCTTTGCTTCATTGGAAATTATACGAAACAAAGAAATTGGCTGGATAACTGAGGGCTTTGTCTTACTTTGTAGACACTCCTCTCACTTCCCATTGACTTCCTTTTAAAGGAGACACTCGAGAAAAAGAATTCACCTCTGTGTTTTTGTGTCTTTGTGTTGGTCTTTCTATCTCTCCTTCTTTCCATGCAAAATCATCATTAAAATCTGCTATTAGAGTCCACTCGTTGCTTATCCCTGCCACAGAATGGTGATGAAAACAAAAGGTATTTCATGTCCTGCTAGAAATGATTTTTCTCTGTAAACTGTTCCCATATTCACCACACGGGTACAGTTGAGTACCAGATCTTTTTTTTGAGCTCAGATGTAAATTAACACAAAGGTCACTTTCTATAGATGCCTCCATAGCTTCTAAGCTTGCTCCTTATGCAGTTTTGGACATGCATTTTGGAATTGCAGTTTTGGACACAGGCCATACAGGATATTTTCCTGCAGAATTCCTAAGTGCCTTTTAGCAATTGTCCAGAATCTGAGCAGAAGTTGCCTGCTAGATGCCTCTCCATAAGGGTGGCCCTATGTAATTACATGCTGCGAAGAGGCTGAGCCAGAAGCTGCTGCAGTTATTGGAAGTCTATCAGTCTTTGCAGGCTTTGGGCATGATTCTTGCCAGGTAACAAGCTGTAAATGAGGCATGGCACAACTGGATTTGTGCAATGGCAGGAAAACTGTCAGTGATTCTTGTAAATGATTGTTTTGCATTGAGAATCCAGAAGAAGCTGTTTGGTACGTAATTCATAAAGAACCAGGGGGGTGAAAGTGATTCCTTAAAGGAATATATCCCTTTTTAATGCTGATCATTGGGGTATTTAGTAAAGGGTTTTCTAAACTGCTTGATCAGTCTGATTTTTTCACTGGAAGTAATGGGAATTCTATCTGAAGATAGAAGGAATAAATGAGCCAGCACAGTGGCATCCTTTGACAATTTATCCTGAGGGCATCCTTCCTCTCCTGATCAGAGGAATCAGTGGGACCCCAGACTTCAAGGCAGATCTGGCCACAAGACTAATAGCTCTCCCGCTGCCTTCTCCATGTTAGATATCAGTAGTATACTTCTGTATCAAAGACTGCTCTTATGGTGATGAATTTTAGAACCAAATTCTGTCTGTGAATGTGCATAACTGAGTGGCATTACATCCTTTGAAAGCCAGATACATCCCTTTCTAGATTACGATTTCTTAAGAAACAGTATACTGAGATCACTGGACTAGTTTGTTGTCAAAAGCACCTGTTCTATCCCTATATCTTAGCAAACAGTAATGCTAACACTTAATTTATATTTGAAATAGCTTTACTTCTGCCGTGTGTCCATTTTGCCATCAGAGACTAGTATGTGCAGATGCTAATCTGTACCCATAAGAGCTTGGAGCAAGTGAGGAGACAGTGTACAGCCTCTAGCTATAAAAACAAGCTGGATAAAATAAACCTTTATTTGCCAAGCAAATATGTGCAAGAGTGTGCCATGAAACCAGTGGTACCATTTCTCTGTTTAACAGATCTAGGGATCCCAGGCCCAGTCTGGCCTCTGCACAGCAATACAGCTTTCCCTTGATATTTGCTATTAGTTGAACATTAATTGATCAGAGGTTCCCAGAATGTCCTTGAAATGGACAAGCAAGAACTGTAATGCTTCTAATTTCAACAGCCACCAAAATTAAATGCTTTAGTTTACTGCCAGCATAAACTAACTGCCAGGAAAGGGGATGTGCAGGCACGTTCATGTCTCTTTAGCATGGAATAGAGACAACCCAAGTAAACAGAGTATAATTCATGTTCCTATTATCTGGCCAGGACACGTGCCTGCCCATTGCACCAGATGCTCTGAGCCCCCATGGTGATGCTGATCAGGGTGACGTTTTTATAGGCATTACAGGGACAGCTGGAAGTGGAGCAAATGCTTAAAAACTACTTAAAGCTCCAGGAAGTCCTCTGGGATAGGCAGGGGGTTGGTAAATGTCACGCTTGTTCTGCATGCCTCTGTGAGAGTGGTGAGAGGGTAAAAGGCTCTGCTGGTGGGGCCAGGGCTCCGTGGCAGCCGCTCATCTACAGGGGTGAGCATGGCAGAGCTGGAGCCTCCCACAGCCACAGACATGACTCTAATAGCACTGAGCTCCCATTCCCTGTGTCATTTTGGGCAGTGCTGCAAAGAGGAGTCAGTAATGCTGCTGGAAATGGCAAGAAATGGGCAGCTAAGAGGAGCAGACTCCATGCTTGCACCCCAGCCCCACTCAGTGGGCTCAATATTCCTGTGCTGGGGAGGCCCAGCTTCCTTGTTCACAATCCCCCTTTGTTTTTCCCTCTGGGGGAGCAATGGGGCTGAGGTCAATTCTCTTTTAATTCTCCTCTAGTGTAAAAGCCAAATTAACTCCATCCAATGGAGCTATTCCAGATTTGTACATGTAAATCTGAGTGGGAATGGCACAGAAATTCTCCACATGTGTAAAGATTCTGCATCTGGAAAAAAGTATTTGACTTTCTTGTAAACCACAGGTTTTCCAGTATTAAGGTTCTGGTGGCTTCTTATCTTCCTCAGACCTATTTAACCCTAACTACAAAGGAAATCAAGAAAGCCATAGGCTATCTGCATGTTAAAGAGATGATGGCAATGTCCTGGGAAGCAAAATGTCCCTGTTCTCTCCTGTTTTATTTTCATAATATGCAGCAATCATGAAATTAAACCCAGCAACACTAAGTAGCACTAACAGAACAGCGTGCTAGCAGAATTAAGGATCAGTATTTCTGGTCAGAGCTCTGCCTTCAACTTTTGTTTTGTGATGCACAGAGTTATTTCAAAAGATACTGAGGTTGGTGAAATGTAACTGAGCACAATATTAAGTCTTCTTCCAGTTGAGGGATGAGTATTCTCTGGTGGGAAGTGCCATGGCAGCAGCCATCAGAGGTAAGGTTGGACCTTGCATGGGATGTGTGTTAACCTTGGAAGAGCCAGGGAGACTGGGAAGTGTTAAATCCAAGCAAGAGGCTCCGTCTGTATTACATCCTCACTTCTGTTTCTTTGGTTCTCCTCCTCCTCCTCAGCAAATAGCCATTGCCCGGGAGGGTGACCTGCTGACCAAGGAGCGGTTATGCTGCGGGCTGTCCATGTTTGAGGTGATCCTGACACGAATTAGGAGCTACCTGCAGGACCCCATCTGGCGCGGGCCACCCCCAACGAACGGGGTCATGCACGTGGATGAGTGCGTGGAGTTTCACCGGCTCTGGAGCGCCATGCAGTTTGTGTACTGCATCCCCGTGGGCACCAACGAGTTCACTGCAGAGTGAGTGTCAAGCAAGTGTCAGCAAGTCCCAAGGATGCCCTCAGCTGCAGCAATAGCCTCGACTAGTGTAGAGGTAGAAGGGGAATACAGGTTCTTGGTGAAAGGACTTTGTTGTGCATGGACATAAAGAGATGCCCAAAGAGCTTTCTATCTGAACTGGTGCAAAGAAGAAAGCAAAAGGACATGCCCAATGGGACATGGAGAAAGAGATGGGTAGATGGGCCAACAACCCAAGCCGAAGACTAGGTCTTCGTCCATCTTACCCTGTGATGCACCCTGCACAGCCTGGCCCTGGTGTAATTCTGCGTATCTCCTAAGTTAATTTTCTCTAGCTGTATTTCTGCTTTCTAGAAGTAGGGCTGAATCCAATTTCCCTGGGAATTCACCAAGGGAAGTTCCCGGGGCCATGGTAGGACTTCTCTCACATAATTCTATCCTGTAATTCTATCTCCCCACCCCATCAACCCTGTCCTCCTTCCAGGCAGTGCTTTGGAGATGGTCTGAACTGGGCAGGTTGCTCTATCATTGTTCTCCTTGGACAGCAACGGCGCTTTGACCTCTTTGACTTCTGCTACCACCTGCTGAAGGTGCAGAGGCAGGACGGGAAGGATGAAATCATCAAAAATGTGGTAAGTTGAAGGGCGAGGTCCCAAGGGACCTGAACCAGCACACTTCTCTATCTTGCTTTCTCCAAACTCATAAATTACAACCATGCCCGGTGTTAACCTTATTCATACTGGACACACTCACTGTGAGATTTCCATCTGCAGTCTCAGCAGAGAGGCCAAGATTTTAATTGCCTTGACCATCAAATCTTTTTTCTCCAGAGCTTTTCCCTTCCTCCTGGGGGTAGGAAGCTGGAGCTGAGAAGCTGGTATTTCCAGCAACCATCCTGTGATCTCAGTGGCTTAATCAATACGCAGCTGGCAGTCTAGACTTTAGAACTGTTAACTTAAGGACCACTCACTGACCTTGTTAATGCTCCGTTTTGCATCATCAGACCCTATAACGAAGTGAGTCACTGGTCCCTGGGAGGTGCTAAGTGAACTGTAACACATGTTACAGCAGCTTTGCTTTAGCAGAGGTTTCCAGCAGCAGCAGTTACTGGTACTTTTTGGCTGGTCAGATGACATAAAACTCTCTTCATATACTGTTTTTCTCCCTCACCATCCCTCCAGCCCTTGAAGAAGATGGCCGACAGGATCAGGAAGTATCAGATCCTGAACAACGAGATTTTTGCCATCCTGAACAAGTACATGAAGTCTGTGGAAACAGACAGTTCCACGGTGGAGCACGTGCGCTGCTTCCAGCCCCCCATCCACCAGTCGCTGGCCACTACCTGCTAG